ACCAGGGCTGGCCTCCTTGTGCACTTCCTCTTCCTCTGATACTCACCACACTCTTCACTCTCAGGATAATGGTGCTACCTCTCTTCCTTCAGACAGTCTGGCCTTAGCCTGCACCTGTTTCCAGGACTGGACTGCCCTTCTTCCTTTGCTCCTCATATTCTCTTCCTAGTCTTTGCTCAAGTACACCCCTTTGATAAAGTTCCCACTATTTTTCAATCGGTCTATGGATTTCCAGGAACTCTTCTAAAACACTGTAGCTCCGGCACAGCATTTATTTTTGTCCTATCATACATAGGGTACCTCTGCTATAATATAACCTCAAATGGAAGAAGCAGCGTTCGCTTTCTCAAACACATCCATGTTTCTCACAACACAGTTATTGCCCAGTTTGTTCAGAATCACCTAGAATTCCTCAGGTCTAGAATTCCTCTAGTCTCAGCAAACCCAACAAAAAAAGAAGTTGGTGATGGAATACCTTAATCCCAGAATTTGAGAGACAGAAAAAGGGGGGGATCTCTGAATTTTAAAATATCCCGATCTACATATTAACTTCCAGGCCAACCCGGGCTACAACAGTGAGATTCTGTCTCAAACAAAAATAAAAATAAAATAAAATTTAAAAGAAATAAAGAAAAAATAAAGCAGAGACAAAAGAAAAAAACCAAATGACTAACAGGATAAATAATGAAGACAGCTATTCAGGTTAGTGTAATTTTTTACCATCATTTCTAAATACAATGTTGTGTTTCACACAAAATGTGAGCATTTGGGTTAGGAAAGGTCTGAAAACTATTATCTCAATGTTTATTCTTGTACCTACATGTAATTACAACAAAAAGAAATAGTGAAGGACTAGGCACAACCAAAACGCACATTACATTAGAGAACAAATGTACAGTTGACTACTCACTCAGAAACTGGACAATCTCCAATACAGCATAGTGCTGGGGTAGGCAGTAAGTTAGAACCAAATGTCCTTTCACTGGAGGCCAGTGGGAATGAGAAAATGAAGCTATAATGTCTCCCTATGAAGGGCCTCTTGCCATATAAAACTAAAACTGTAAGAAGTAATGTTTCATTAAATAATGGAAAAGTTCTGAGAAAATCAAGAGATAAACCAAAGCAACATATAAAAATTTGGGCTATCTGCCAGATTTATTATCTGTTATTTCCACTGCCCCCCCCCACAAATTAGAGGTGATTTGCCAAACAATATAAGAGACAAAAGAAATGAAAGTAGTCCTATTTCAAGGGGCTGTTTCCTGGATCAGCATTTCCTCTTTCATCACGACATCTATCAGGATCTCTTATGCACTGCACACCCTTAATACACAATTAAATGAAAAGATACTTAAGACAACAACAAAAACCTGTCACCTTGAAAACACACAATCTTGACCAAGCATACCACAGCTGGGTCGCAAAGGAGTCAGGAAGCTCTGAATTCACCTCCCACTTCTCAAGGACAAGTCTTTAGAAGTCTCCACAATATCTAGCACAAAGGGCCTGATTAAGGGCCTTTTGCAATTCTGGAACCAAACCTGCTACTGAAGGAACACTGCCTTCTCACACAATATGATGCCAATACATCACCAAAATGTTCAAAGCACTTAAACACTAATTTCCTTGCGAGAAAAAGAAACATCCCGATTCCAGCTGTCTATGCTGAATGTGCTAGCTCCCTCATCGTCCAATGCTCTGCTGTGTCTTCCAAGGCTTGTTTTCTGTGATGACAGAAAATAACACATGATTCATAAGGAAAGTGGCTAGAGGCTCAGACTGATCAAAACTGAAAACGTCACAAGCACCTTCACTTGTTTTGGTCATGGAGATTCTCATTGCCATTTAAGTGACCTGTGGCAAACAGGGAGTCCTAGAGATTGTTGAGTTTCTTTTTAGAAAGCAATGGACAAAACAAGGTAAAACTCTGAGAACTTAATGAATTTACCTCACAAATACACTTCTTTTTTTTTCCCTATTGTTTTCTAGATAGAGCTTTTGTTCAGTGAACCCATCATTCTTCATACTTGTTATCTGTTCCAAATAGCACCTTTCTGGTTGAACTAAAGATAAAATAAATTTAAAAAATAAAAACAAAAACCATTTTTTTTCCTATGAATGAACTTTCCACCTTGCTTAATCCCCTCCCAGACATGTGCTTTCTGATGGAACCCAGAAGCTCTTGAGTAGAACAGTCACTGTGTGGTCTTAAAAGAGCCACAAAGCAAGAGTCTCTCTTGCAATATGCACTCCAAATTTGGAAAGAAACTTTCTTGGAGCTTTTAAACATAACATTCTATAAAAATGATCCAAGAGATGACACATTTTACAGCTCCGTACTTCATTTACAAAAATGAGTCCAAGTATGAATTTCATACTAGGAAAAAAAGAAAGGAAGGAAGGGAGGGAGGGAGGGAGGGAGAGAGAAAGAGAGAAAGAAAAAAAGAAAAGAAAGGAAGGAAGGAAGGAAGGAAGGAAGGAAGGAAGGAAGGAAGGAAGGAAGGAAGGAAGGAAAGAAGAAACCAAAACCAGCATCAGTCCCTTAAGCTCTACCAAACATAATTGGGGGAATGGCAGCCAAGGCTGTCCTAAAAAATAACTAGTCTTTGCTGCCATCTAGAGGTAAAAAGTGTGTGGTGAAACAGCAAATAAAGCCCAACTTTTGAACTTTAGAGCCTGTGAGTTCTCACCACCTTAGGCAATTTTCTTCACGTTACCTTAGCAGTATTTCATATAAGCTCCACCACTGCTGCAGGATGTCAGGTGGGGACAGAGGCCTGAGGTGTTCATAAAACACACATGCCCTGATCCAACTCCCAGACAAGCATCTTCAGCTCTGACATAGCATCTGGGTATGCCAGGTACCACAAACATCCTACCAAGTGACCACTGGGTCAACTAGACCACTCACTGGACCTTCATAGTGCCAAATTTTTCCTACCTTGCAGGTCAGAGTTCACAGTGAAAGAAAATGTTTACATCTAAAAGAGCCTCAGTCTCAGCAGAGGTCCTCTAAGTGTGATAGGCTGACCACATGCATCAGAGCCAATCACCCTTGAGAATTTATTAAAAGCATGGCTTCCTACACATCCTCACAACGGTTTAAATAGACCCACATCAAGAACTTTCAACATTAAATTGGAAAACTTCTGTAATTCTTGAAAAAGTTAAGGGCATCACAAAAACCTCTTCTGGAAAGGGTGAAACGGGTTTCAACTGTAGCTTTTGCTGTTTGTGGTTCAATGATGTAGATGACATTCACAGAAATGCCCTCATCACTGAGAATTTTCATTTTTCATCTCTTAACAGTTTACTATAGCATCTTTTAATTGTATGATCTTGTAGAAAATGTTGAGGCTAACAAAGAACACTTAGAATACCACTAACCTCAGCAGACCACTAATATCATGGACTCATATTCATCTACAGGCTGAGTACCCCTGATTTGGAAATGAACATGCTATAAACCTAACTTTCTAGTGTCACTACAGTGTCATAAGCAGATAATTCCACACCTGACCTCACATGACATGTAGTGGTTAAACACTGTTACAGTAAAAATAGTGCATAAAGCTACAGTCATTCTATGTACAGTGTAATGTACATCTGAAACATAATGGCTTCTGTGTTTAGATGTGGATCTCATTGTGGATATGTAAATAAGTTCCCAAAGTTCAGACATTCAAAATACTTCTAATCCCTAGGGACAGTCAATCTGCAGTTCTTTCTCGTATACCATATATAAGTATTTAATATGCATGTTTTAACTTTTAAATTCAGTTTCTTAACATCTCTGTGGAAGCATTTCCCTGTAACTTCAAAAGCATTACTATGCAATAACAACACAGTGGTTTTTATATAATCATACATTAATTCATTTACCATACCCTCACATTATTAAGAATTGTCTTCTAGTTGGGCAGTGGTGCTGCTTGCCTTTAATCCCAGCACCTGGGAGTCAGAGGCAGGCTGATCTCAGTGAGTTTGAGGCCAGCCTGATCTACAAAAGCTAGTTCCAGGTCACCCAAGACTGTTACACAGAGAAACTCTCTCGGAAAACCAAAGAAAAAAAAGTTGTCTATATACACTTGTATCATTCTAATTAATGCTAAAACAACTACCTTTACCTTTATTTTAGTATTTCCTAGAAAAGGTCGCCGAAAGAATGACTAAGTCACATAGTACTTGATACATAGGCTGGCCTTGAACTCACAGAGATCCACCAACCTCTACCTCCTGAGTGCCAGGAAGTACTCTTAAATATTCTCATTCTTTAAGGAAGCATTTTCTCCCTTTAAAAAATTAAAATATAATAGTTCTTAGCAATCTATTTTACTCTGCTAACCTACTGTGTGATCAGTCAGGCTATGTGACTCCTTTCACACTCGGCCTCCACCAATAAGCAAACAGTAGACAACTCTATCTCAAGCCCCTCTCTTCTACACATGTCCCTATGATGAATGAGGAGTTTCTCTATGTGGCAGCAATCTACATTCCCGTCCCACCTCTCATATGCAACCTAATTTGAAGCACTCCATTTTTAAACTGTGTTGGATGTTTTCCTGAATCAAGAAAGAACATTAACAGCAGCATTCCCTCATCCTCATAGCCTACAGCAGTTTCTTGAGGGCCCAGTCAAATGCTGCTTTCCTCCTGAAGCTCTTAGATGCAGTGAACATGAAATCTTCTCTGGAGATCTCATCGCTCTCTGACAATAGTTTGGGACACTGTTCTTGTTTATTTCCCCCAACACTGATCAGCAAGAACTGGTCTTCCTCTGGGTTCACCACTATCATTAAAGAACATATACAAAAGGAGTTTGCAGAAACATTTTCCTAAAATATTTTCCCTTCAAACTAGATTTCCAGAACCTTGTGCTTTCAGAGTCAAACCTCCAAACAAACTACATGCCTTAAAAAAATGACCATTTTCTCCCAATCATATAAATCATATAATAACTACCTTTTATCTTTGTTGTTGCTGCTGTTGTTTGATTCAAGATCAAAGGAGTATGCAAGCAGAGAATTCCAACAAGGATCCCTAAACCCAAATCTACAGGCATCAGTAGACTTTCCTGCAAAATAGCCCTGGGACCGATGGATAAGCCTAGTCACCAAAATGGCTGTGAGAAATTACACATCATAAGAACTGTCACTGCTAACACATTCCTCCACATAGAAGGGAAAAGGTAAGTCATACCTACGTACTGTCTAGAAAGATTCATCTCCAGAAGCATCTGGAAAGCTACACTCACTGAAGGCCAGAGAGGAACGGCCATCTCTCCAGGAAATGGTGAAGAAGCCAACTGACCTACAGCTCACAAGTTGATGGACCTACTAAAGGGCATGCTCAAAGAAGCAGCGCATGTCCAATTTCCAACTCTCCTTACACAGGAGCATATATACACTCACTGGTTCACAACTGCAAACCACTCAATTCCTTATGTCATTTGCAATCTAATTCAACACTGGACTGCAGCATCAGCTCAGGACAAGACTGGATTCACACGATAGCCCAAGAGCTTTTTGTGAACAAAGAAGTAATCTTCATTCTAGAGAACTTTATCACACATATTGGCTAAGACAATTTTTTAAGAGTTTTTAACTTACTCATGAAAGCAGGATGATTTCCACCAAAATTACATAACAATTAAAATCAAACTTTAAGGTTTAAAGTCCATCATCTTTATGACTATGAGAAAGAAAAGTAGTAATTCTTAGCTGTAAGGAAAGAGAAACCACAAAATCAGTAATAACTGATTATATCCGTGGTGTGGTTTACCAAAAATCATGGATGCTAGCATTCAGCCTCCTCTCCCATTTTGATAGCAGATTTTCCCTCCTACCGATGAAGTTATAGAATTGTATTGGCTTGCACGTAAGATAAGACTTTAACACTGTAGTTTTCTATAGTAATCAGAACATATGAGACTTGACGGTCACTACTACTGAGATCTTAGAGGGAAATATAAATCATTGTTTTGGGTACTCAAAAGAAGAGCAACAGTTTTTCATTGCACAGAACACCTTTATTTACATCCCTTCCCTCAATACCACACACAGAACAAAATCCAACAGAGTCAGCAAATGCTTTGGACCAGGAGACCCAGGAGGATGACAATAACAGAATGCTGCTTTCAGTCATCCACAGGCTGTATACAGTACCCTGGCAGTAACATGCAGTCACTGGTTTTTTGCTTATTTTTTTTTCAAATCTCATTCACTGTGTCACTAAACCAAGAGAAAGGAGTAATTCTAATTCAGTGTGGACACTGGCATAATGACATTTTTAAGATGAGGCATTTTTGAAAACAGATTTCATGCCTTCACAAAGCCTCTGGGCTTGGGGGTGCCACTGATTTCTATGACCCATCAGGGAACACTGGAAGCATGGGCCTGGAAGAAATCCTCCCGACTGAGGACTACACTTCAGCTAGCTTTCTACAATGAGTCCTAAAGCAGAAGTAAAGGAACAGCCATTCCCCATACTCATATGGCTAATCTATTTCAGTGCATACAACCAGGGGCCATTTCATGAAGAGAGGGATGAGGGAAAGAAAGGGAGGAATAGGAGGAGGAACAGGAGGGAGTTGGGCAGCACTGAGCTATGCAAGCTCAAGAGAAATGGTGTACAGCACCAAGCAAGTGGTAGAGGAAGACCGTGGGGAAGATGAATGAGTTACAAGACAGAAACAGAAGTCCAAGTTAAAGGAAAGCCGTAAGTGAATAGAAAAGAAATGACCTATGAATGAAGGTCAGGAAGCTCTGATGCCAAAACCAAGACACACATAGTGTACACAGCAGCATGCCTGAGAAAAGGCAGGCATTTAATACATCTCAAGTAAATTCAAGATGAGGAACAAGCTAGAGAAAGGCCATTCAACAAGACACAGGTGAGAAACTAGGCTTAAGAGACAGCAGTGAAGTATGATCAGGATGGGAAAATAGTTATGCCTGGGTACCATCCCATACTCCTACCACTCTGGAGCAGAATCAGGAGGCAGAAGAGAAAGGCCAGCCTGAGCTGCTATAGAGTCTCAAAAAACAAAACAAAACAAAACAAAACAAAAAACTGCTGAGGCTACAGCTCTGGTAGAGAGAACACTTGTCTAGCATGTACAACGCCACAGGTTCAACTCCCAGCAACACACACACATACACACACACACACACACACACACACACACACGAAAATTAGGAAGCAACCAATTACGAGCACTGGTTGCTCTTCCAAAGGATTCCCAGCATCCACAGAGCAGCTCACAACCATCTATAATTCCAGTTACAGGGAATTCTGACACACCTTTCTGGTCTTCATGGACACTGCACACATGGTGAGCAAACATATATGAAGGCAAAACACCCACACATATAAGAATAAAATAAAATTAAAAATTTTAACAGGAAAAATAATATATACTATCAACAGTCTCAGAAAAACAAAGTGTCCAGGTAAGTTATATCTCGAAAAGGCACACAAAATGTTGTATGTTGAAGGTTTTAACCTTGTTTTCTCCTCTTGCTGGGACTTTCTCAAGTATGCGTTATGTCTAGATGGCATAAATCATAAGTGAGGAAAAAATAATGCAAGATACTGTTCAAAGTAGTAAAAAGAAAAAATCTAAAATAATTATGGACATTTCTATGATCATCAGCAGTAGTCCACCTTGAAATGGTAATCAAGTCCTCTCATTAAGAAAAAAGTATCACAAAATGTTCCATTTTAACCAAAGAACTACCAATCACAACACAGGCTTACTCCAAACACTATCTAAGGCATAATATGTAATGCAACTAAGAACTGAATATGACTTGAATTTCTACAACATAGTGTTTGACATATTAAGCAAGTGAAATAAAGAATCCTGTCACCCAAGCATAACCCTGCAAAAGAAATGTGCCCATTATGGGGGGGGGGTGAAAAGTACCTAAGAGAAGCTATCCTACACAGAAGTTGGGGGGGGGGCTTCCTAGGAAGAATGTGTTTAACAGGAGTGAAAGGGACTGAGTGGTAACAAGGGTGAAAATGGACAAAATTCACCATGTACATATGTGAGATTGTCAGAATTTGTGAAATTCCAAAAAGAAAATGTCCTATAATTTTAGAGTGTGATTAAATTTTTAAAAACAGATAAAAATCCAAGTGAATAAAAATAACAAAACTCCTAAAAAAATGCCAGTTTTATGCCAAGAGTCCTACTTGTCCTTTGTTTACTCTTCTTTGGTGATCTCTGGATTACTAGTCTAACTTTTTGAAATCATGAATACTTTCAATCAGAATATAACTGGTCTAGTATCTAACAGAACTGTGGACTGAATCCTAGGGTAACTAATAAAAAACAGCTTTTTTCTGGGATATATTTTAAATTCCTTCCAGAGAAATATATAATACCCTGAGTTTGGGATGGAAGCAACATATTCAAGCTGTGTAAGCTAAAATTCTATTATCTCACCTCATTTGACAGGCAGGCTAAGAATAACTGTGGTAATTATAAATGCTGAAAGAAATCAAAACAAGACTATTTTATGACAAGAAAATTACATAATACTCAAATTTCATTGCTTATAAAGTTTTATTAGAACACAGTTACACTCATTTATTTACAAATTTATTGTCTACTTTTACACTAAAATATCAAGGCTGAGTAGTTTTAAAATGATTATTGGATCTGTAAAAGCTTAGCATTTGTAGGAGTAGATTTCTACTACATAAACAAATACAAACAAAAAAGAAGTTAGCTAACTACAGGGCTAGTCCGACCTAGGCTAGCAAGAAACCCAGGAACAGAACACTAAACCACTCTATCATAATCTAATTTCTCAAAGTAACACTTGCAATTCAAGAATTCAATCTAGCATTCTATGAAAGCTGGTGAAAATGAGAAAACTACATTTCAAGATGTTCATGAAACGTTTAGAGGACTGCATAACATTTAAGTATTCAATGTCAGATCATTAGATCAAGAACAGGTCAAAGGGAGGGCGGGGTGGCACATGCTGTAATAATACCTGCAATGGACAAGCTAGAGCAAAAAAGTCTAGTTCAAAGCAGTAGGATTTCTAATTCAAGGCCAACCTGGGATAGATAGTGAAGACCTTTCTCAAAACAAAGTCAAAACCAATACAAAACCTCTAAGGATTTGTAGTACTGAATAATGTTATGCATTACTGTTAAACACAAAAGAGGAAATGAAAGACCTTCTACATTTATGAGCGGTATTTTTTATGAAACTCATGGATACCTAGCAAAATAATATCAGGAAAGTATGTATGTATGATTTGGAGAAAGACTTGTACATCTGTACTTTCAAACTTTCATAAGCTGTTGTCAAGAATCATTCAGTTTAGTATTTGTGAGAATTGTGGGGATTCTATAAAGTCTCCTATGCTCTTTGACTGTCCACCTAGTAGTTTTCAAGGACAGAACAAGACTGAAAATGTAGCCTCTTTTTCTTTACTTCCTTGTGTTTAAAAATGAACCCTGAATTGTGCCCTCAAATATTCATTCTATCATGTTATTTGTAGAGCTGAAATCAATAAATAATCTTGAAAACATTGTGCTCTGAAGTTGGTTCTCTATGAGTGAAATATCCCAAGCCTAATTGCACAGCTCAGACAATGTTTCACAATATGTACAATACTTCTACATTGAATTATACTGTAAAAGTCTAACTTTGGGGAGAAAAATAAAGGTAAATAACAAGGTAATAAATAGCTATTCAGAGATTCTGTGTTCCCCCAACAAATCATTCCAGAAGAAATTTAGCATCAATTAAGCAACACAGTTTGAAGAATACTTACAAAGTTCATGTCAGTAATCACTAACAAAGAATCACTCCGTTCATTCTAGGTTACAGAGGCTGTTCCCTGCATAAATTACAGTCTCATTTACAAAGCAGGAGTCTATTTATTGTCCCCTTTCTACAATTTATAACACTTAATCCAGGAGAGCATGGAAGTGAGTACTTCTAACCCTAGCACTCTAGAGGCCAAAGCAGGAAGATTTCAGGCCAGCAATCTGGTCTACATAGTAAGATCCTGGCTTAAAAAATAGTAAAACAAATTTAATGAAGGATAGTTAAGACATTATTGTAAGGCACAGGATTTTGGCAAGTCTTCCATGTAATCGAGCATCTTCAGAGGTATAAGGTCTTTAGGCAAGATATGGCTATAAAGGATGGGGAAAGCCAAGTTGGGCTTACATGGAGCTACCTTCCAGTGCCAGGAGACAGTGATTTAACAACAGCAGACAGTGCTAAAGGACCTGCCGATCAGAAGAGCACCCACAGAGCTGATCTAGGCTAACCAGGAGCTGCTTCTCAGGGAGGAGATGTCTGAACTGACTTTCTATGTAAAGAGCTCGTCACTAAAATTGGAGGGCAGCATGGTACAGCCACCTCAAGGAACTGAGACAAAAGGAATGGAGTCTGTCGGGCAATAAAGGGGTGGCCAGTGTTGTTGAGCCACTGTCAACAGTGAAAAAACTAGCCATGGCAATGAGATTTATTGTGTGCTGACAACGCTTTGGGTGCTTTTAACCAGTTTTCTGATCTGACTTCTCTGGTAGCTGAGGGACAAACAATGGTGAACCAAAAATGGTTCTCTATTTTGAACTTACCACAGTGGGTTAATACAAATTAGAACAACAGAATATACGTCAATGGGGAAAATGCAAAGAAAGATTTGGGGTAACTTCTGGAGGGAGACACAACAGGACTTGGAGATGTAGGACCATTAGGGAAACAAACACATCACAAAAGCTTTTGTGAAACTGATGGATTGTGGGAACTGAAATATGGAAGTGTGGAGACAAGGCATATTTACATCACTTACACTTGACATTCATATTAAATAACAAATTCTTCAGAAACCATCCAGTTGTTTGAGATTTGAGTATAAATCGCCTATGAGGATTACATCTCAATTACTAACAGAAAGATGTTTCTCAAAGTATACAGGCAAAACAGTCTGAATAAAATCAGACAGAGAGTCAACAGACACAATTCGATAACAATGTGCATAATGCATACAAATTATATACCTTTAAAAATCAATAGTGGGTTGTTTACTTAGAGATTCTTACCTTTGATCATAAGAATAATTACCACAAAAAATATAAGAGTATAGACTGATTTCAGATCATTTGAATATGAACAAAAGCTACCTCACTCTACAAAAGAATCCCACGCTAATCACTTAGCATCTCAGTGCTTCTGTTTTGTCATGTATAAAATAAGGAAGACAGTAACTACTTCTTGGCAGACTTGAGGAGATCAAACAATAAGCTAGCATAATTTATAAAGCGGTCACAATAATACATGACATAATAAGTAGGCTGAGACAGGAGAATTAAGAGTTTAAGGCTAGTATGGACTACATAAGGAAAGTTCCATCTCAGAAAGGGGAGGAAAGAAACGGAAATAATTTAGCACATAGTAAGAGAGACCCGGTCAGTCATCCTCATCAGCTTAAACCATGAAACCCAATATAGACAAGTTCAACAGAACTACCATATACAAGCTTCAGCAATGCCAGGGTATAAATTTCATTAAAAAAAAAAAAACTCAACAAATGAAAAGCGGCATTACTACCCACGGACTCCTGATATTTCTGAACATTACCGTTTTCCTGTAACATATATGGTTAGAGGTGGCACCAAAGACTCAAAATGTGCTGCTGAATCATAAGAAAAGTACTCTTCAAAAGGTGTAGAGACAGTGCTGTGCATTACTAAGAACGAGCTATTTTTATTCAACTTTACTTTACAGTTAGCTTCTCACTGTAGTTTGGTGCCTGCTATTTTACATCTTCAGTCCGGCCTCAAACCTGGGATCTAGACTGCCATACTCCACTGGACTGACTTGGCTTTTTCTCTTAAATCACAGAATCCATGCTGTAACTTTCAGTTTCACCCTGAGAAATCTCCTCAACTTGTCAATCCCACCAGTGTCTATCATGTGACGGTTCTGAGGTCAAAGTAAATGGATATCTAACTTTGATGTTATCCTCAAAATACAGATACAGACCTTGTAACCTTGGAGGGTGACTTGAGACAGCAACAAAACCAGGAATTACTGCATACTAAATCTTATAGAACTTGAAATATTCAGATCCACTCTGGGGCCTTGTTATTTAATACGACTTGACTTTTAAATAAAATGCCTACTGCTTCCAGAAGGGTGCACATGGGGCAGCATGAGAAAAATTGTTAGAGCCGTGTTAATTAAATGCTTTGGAAAATAGTTTTGTTTCTGTCACAACTAGCTAAGTGAATTTGCTAATGAATATCTTTAGATCACGTTCCTTATCTGTAAAACAGCAGAGTACAAAAAAGAGACCTTTATTTAAGCCCCCTGTTGCCCCAAACTACATGTTATAAAGAACTCATTATATTAATATTGTGGGCATGTACTATGCGGCAAGCATTGTACTGAGCTATACAGCTTTAAATTATCTTCATAACAATTTTTGAAGACATTAGCACTACTTTTTCTACAGATAAGGAAAGGGGGAATGTGTTGTCAGTAACAGCAGAGTCTCTGCCTTGAATTCCAACCGTCTGAACCTAGTTCAGGAATTACTGGTGACCACTACGCAACACTGCCTCTTTGTACAAAAACGTTCCACGTAGTTTCAAGGAAAAAGTTAAGTAAATGAAAATGAGAGCTTGGGAAGGGACCCCTCCACACTGGCAGACGACGAGCGGGTCCCTCTCGTTTCACTTGGGACAGGCTCTCCCTCCCCTGTGCCCGCGGTGACTGATGCTCCCTGAGCCCCGCGCCCCTCCTCCGGGCAGCCCACCGCGACTGCCACGCGCGGACAGGGGGCTGAGGCGAGGACCTGGCGCGGGGGCAACGTGGGAGGCAGGCGGGCGGGCGGGTACCTGGGCTGCTGGTGGTGGCCGGCTGGTTCTCCCACCACAAGTCTCCCAGATCGTCTGCCATCTCCGCGGGACCCGACGCGAGCTGACAACCAGGTGAAACAGGCCGGCTGCTGCAATCCGCTCAGCCTCAGAGCCGGCGACAGCGACGCCGCACGCTGAGATACCACAGAACGCCGTCGCCCGCGCCCAGTTGAGATGACGTCACATGCACCACGCCCTCCAGCTGCGGGAGCCGAGGTTGTCGCCGTTTCCACACAGGTTCGGCGTGCTCAAGAGCGATCTAGAATCACCGAGTAAATTCTGCAAATGATAGAAACTAGCCAAGACACAGAGCCAGAAGTTTATCCTCTGTTTTGATTGTTTTTGAAAATATATTTAAGAATTTTGTTTTGAATTATGACGGAAAAGACTGTGTCGAAAGTGTAAGAACTGATGCTAAGGCGATTTTTTTTCTCTGCTAAATTTCAAAGAACTCTCGCCGCGGGAGAAGACCCGAGCACGTGGGTGTGTTTTCATTAGGTTGTCAGTGTTCTGTCGCTCCTGTGCTTGTACAGTTTGCCCTGAAAGAGAAACCTGAGAGTTTCTGGCGATGAAAGAACACGTGGAGGCTGCTTTTTTCCCTACAACTTAAGAAAACGAAAGGTAATTGATCAGGAAGGGCGCTAATGCTCTAGAGCCCCAAAACATTATACTGTTTCTCTAGTTAAAATCAGGTTTTGATATGCTCCTTCAAGGACTGGGGGTCTTTGTGTCCCAGTGACTACTGTCGCTCTTGGAACAAGATCAGAATTTGGAACTGGGCGTGGTAATTCCAGCGCACTGAAGTCAGAGGCCCGCCCAAGACCATCCTGGTCTACGTAGTAAATTGCAAGACGGCTGGAGCTGTGTAGAGAAGAGACGGAGAGGAGGAGCACGCAGACAATCTACACATTCAGTCTTCATGTATTTACTGTCTCTCCCTATATAGAAAAAGGTTACAGACTATATTGAGTAATCAATCTAAATTGTATCTTCCTTTTACCTATTTTGTTATCAGTAAAGTGATATCTGGGTTTATAAGTTAGCCTGTCCTAAAACCCCCGGATCCAGTCAGTACTTGATCACCTCAGCAACACAGGGAAGCTAATGCAGAAACAACTATTTGGCCTTTACCTGGTTCCCCTCTTTCTGTACAGCATTTGAATAAATATTGTTAGAGTTTAGGTTTGAGACAGAGGTTTGAATTCGCAGCCTTCACAGAAAAGTAGACAATTTAACTTTTGTTGACATTCTGGCATTTACTCTGGGCTGTCCTCGGAGACCTAGCAGGACGCTTCACCAGCAGCAGTCAAGATGTGACATTGTGCCCACTGTTGCCACTGAGTAGAGCACTCTCCCTATGCACATTCGCTATATTCTTATAAAAACCAAGCCCTGCTTGCCCAGTTCCCCTCTTTCTAGTCCTCCCGGTATAGCTAAAAGGCTGCCTCTGCATCCTTCCCCCAATAAACCTGCCAGGTGAGCCCTATTGCATGGTGTGGCTTTGTGGTGCCCCTTGGTTCTGACCTTCCATCATTAAACTATTACAACTTTAGCTTGTTTGTCAGTAGGCCAATGTGGGTATGATTTAAAAAAAAAACCCTCAGTTCCTTGGTGGATAATTGAAATGTTCTGGATAAGCCATCTAACCTTACTGGACTTGAGTTCATAACACAAAGAGAATAAACTAGCCAACCCCTGAAAATTCCCCAGTTCTGAGTCTACATCTTCAGTGCCGTACAAAGAAATCTAAACGTTACTGTTACAGCTGACGAACATGATAGAATTTTTGTTTGGGGGAAGCTGTGTTGATGTTACTGTTCAGAAAGGATAACAGATTTGAGCCCAGCTTCCCGTGTGGCAGGAGTAAGACAGCGATTCTCTTGGTCTTTGGAACTTGCAGGGCCTCTTGTCTAGTTACCACAGGTTGAAATAGCCTTTCCTCAGTCTTCATTTTACTGTTGTACGCATGTCAAGATTTCCTATGGATGCTGTGATGTGAAGAAAAGGATAAAGGGTTGATACTGTTTGAGGATGGTGTGCTGTGTTTGACACAAGCTATAGACATCCTGTTGGACTCTAGTGTCCAAACACCGAGAAGGAGTTGCTCCCAGAGACCACTTCTTACACCACAGCCGATGCAAAAGCATGAGGATTTTATTAATTCTGTCATGACAGGGTCCCTCAGCATTTGGGAAGCTGAGAGACCTCGAATAGCTGCTACAGTCTACTTTAAAGGAGAAGGCCATAAAAACAAGGGGGTTGTTCTTTGACCATTATGATTGGCTTATTTGAAAGGGCTATTACCAATAATTGGCTGGAGAGCTGTTGCTAGATCAGATGAGGTAAGAGGTCATTTTGACCCCGTTTCCCAGGGGACTGAATCAAAACATACGTGTATGGGTAATTGTTCAGGAACTGAGTCAACATCTTAAAGGTTATGGAGAACATACGTGCATGTGTAGCTGTTAGGTCCTTGTTTCCCAGGGGAAGAGGGGAAGCACTAAGGCACGGAGGCTGAGAGAGTTCAGAGTTGTCAGAAATGGCTTCAGAATTGTCTTTAAGTCTTACAATCTGATAGGAGGGAACCTTGACTGAGAAAAGTGCTCTGTAAGAGTGGGCTGTCGACAAACATTTAGAGCATTTTCTTAATTGGTGATTGATGGGAGAGGGCCCAACTCATTGTGGGTGGCGTCAACCCTGTCCTGGATTCTGTATGAAAGCTGGTGGAGCAAGCCATGAGGAGTAAGTCAGTAAGCAGAACCTCTCCATCGCTTCTGCATCAGATCCTGCTTTCAGGTTTCTGCCCTGTTTGAATTCCTCTTTTATCTTCCTTTAATGATGGGCAATCCCATGGAAGCATAAACCAAATAAACCCTCTCCTCAAGTTGCTTTGTCATCGTAGTTCATCCCAGCAATTAGGGGGACCCTGCAGGTGTTCAGGCAGGGAAACAGCCCACCCCCCACTGGGGAAGAGATGGGAATGAAAACTCACTTCAGATTGACCTTGTTAATCTGGATCAGACATCAGGGAATCTAATGGTAGGCAGTTCATTATGGGCATATTTAAACAGTACGATTTGGGGGAAATGCCCAGGCAGCAATCATTCCAGTGCCAAGTCCATGACAAAGTTTAAGGTGTGAACACTTAGAAACTCCTTTACAATGTACTTGTGACCGTGAGTGTGGGTGGATTCTATAGCTAAAAGGTCTAGGATTCAATGTGGTCTCTGGCCAATATAGCATAGAAGTCAGCAGTACATAAAATATGTGTGACATCTCCCCTATGAATAGGTTCTATTGACTCTGGGAGGTAAAGATACGGTCTAGGGAGGGAGAGTCTGGGATAATCATCCTGGGGAGTTTGAGTGAGGTGTGTCTCTATAGCCAAAGGCGAATGAGGTCTGCCTTTACAGATAGCAGAAAGGGCGCCAACCAGATCGTTAACAGTACCCACTCTCAGCTTTCTCAGTGGAATGGAGGTATTTAATTTATCTCTCCCATTGAGGAGGTATCCCTGCATGGTTAACATTCTTGTTTTCCTCAGATAGGTCCAAGTACCTTTGTAGTGATATTTCATCTGTAGTTTAATAAATAAAGCTTGCCTGAATATCAGAGAGTAAAACAGCCCTCTGGTAGCCTTACAGACCAGGCAGTGATGCCACACACCTTTAATCCCAGTAGCCACACTAGTTTGCCATAGAAACTGGGTAGTGATGCACGCCTTTAATCCCAGCCCTAGAGGGGAATATAAGATGGGAGGAGATAGCTCTCAGACACAGTCTCATTCTGAGATTCTTGGAGGCAGGATAGCCATTTCAGACTTAGGTAGAGGAAAGAACCAGTGGCTGGCTGTTTTACGTTTCTGGTTGAGCCATAATATCTGTCTCTGGGTTTTTATTAATCATGCTACAGACTTTTGTGCTCCCAACAAGCAATATTAACCTTAGGACACACACCATAAATACAATGACAGGGGCTTATTTAGAGCATGGGCTCCTAGATTGTGTAAACACAATTAATAAACTTCAGCAAAGTCCTGGACCTTGGTAGTGTAGTTCTTAAGTGGTTGCATCATGAAGACAAGAAAAGTAGTAAGAAACCAACAGCATGTCCTATGTACCTCTCTGGTGAATTTTAATCAGTCTAAAGAGCAAAACACATTGCTGGATTTGATGTTTTAGTTTATCGTCCTCTACCTTTATACTCTAAAAGGATGATAGAAATATCCTCTGAGACCTAGCCGCAGATTTGGGTTTTGCAAATCAGATACATTGGTAAGAGGTGGGAGAAAGATGACCACTGACTATGCCTTTTCTTGGCCTTTGACTAATTTCAAGTGTAACATTCATTCTTATCAGTTTAATACCAACAGGACTAAACTGAGGCTTTTACTTCCAGCTTAGCACTAACATAAAGCAGAGGGAGAAGCATCTTGAGTGTTGTGTCCCACATGTCTGCTTCTGCTTGCCTCACCCAATTGCTGACCCTTGTCCCTTTCATGACAGCTGTGACTCCAGTTCAGTGCCTCTGTCCTCATTATTTTGAGCACTGAAAAATATTTACTGCCTCAGTTCTTTCGCACTTAGGGGTGGAATGACCCCTACCATTACTAGCCCTAGAATGTGTGCCACCACTCTTTCCTCTAGCACTATCTTCTGTCCATTAAACACTCTATAATTCTCTGTGTGTGTGGGGGGGTGTTGTATTGTAGGTGATGTGTGTGTGTGTGTGTGTGTGTGTGTGTGTGTGTGGTACATGCACATGAATGTGCATATGTGCTCCCATGTGTGCACGTGTGGATGCCAGAGTAGAACATCTGATATCTTCCTCTTTACTTTCCACCCAATACTCAAGACAGAGTCTCTCTCTCTCTCTCTCTCTCTCTCTCTCTCTCTCTCTCTCTCTCT